TGCGTGGCACAGAAGCAAGCACACAGGTTGGGAAGCCAGTCACGAGCTTAATTAACAGAAGAACAAAAGAGAAGCAGCACGAGAAAGCGGGACGCAGCTAGAAAAGGTAAGGGCCAAGCAGAGACTTTGTCATCACAACGTCAAGAACTGGTCATAAGTATTAAGAAAAAGCGTCCAATGGTGTGCCCCAAAATAAGGATTAGTCGAGGTTTTGAAAAGCAGAGCTAATGGACACATGAGATCCTTTGTCTCCAAGGAAATGAAGCTGCTGAAGGCACAGTTGCTGACAAAGTGCAAGTGAGGGCCCCCCATGCTTGCCCAGGCCCCCCAAGCCACCTCTCCCATGACAGGCACATCTGCTTGTACTGTTTCGGCAGAGGGTGGGTCTCCTCCTAGTGAAAGGAGGTCCTGCCCTGCCCTAAACCCAGGCTGGAAAGAGCTGTCCCAACAACATGGGGCATGCTCATTCCCTCGGCCTTTCTGGGGGTGGATCTGAGGTCCAGTTCCAGTTACTGAGGTGGAAAAGATGCTTGAAGGCCTTTTTGAATGAAAAGATGCCCCTTCCTAGGGGTGGCCTCCCCCATTTCTCTTCTGCCCTACATCTTAAAATGCAGGTGCCATTTTGCAAACGTGAAACAGGTAGCTCGAGAAGAAGCCCTAGTTGCTAAGGATGGCTCCGGGGAAGGACAGGGAGAAGCTGGGGCCTGGACAGCTGACTTCTCGTTGAGTGAGAACAACAGATCCGCATTCCTTTAGGCTGCTGTACATTTAGGTTACTTCGTAGCCAAACACACCCCTACCTGAACGTAAATCCAGATTTTCATGATGCTCACTTATCAGGGCAATACTTAACGAGGACCTCAGAGACGGGCCGGTTTTGCTGTTTGCTGGCCGTGTGTCTGAGGACCATCTCTGCCGTGTATCTGCCTCAGTGTCCTCACTGTACAATAGGGTGGCCACAAGAGTCCCTAGCCAAGAGGGTCCTAAAAGGTCCTAGAATTCGTGCCTGGGCACAGAAAGCATTAGCTTAAATTTATGTTATATTAGGTATGGGTACCTAACTGGAGGCGCATGCCTCAGCCTGGCTCGAGGCCACGGTGCCCTGGGGTTGGCCGGGGGCTCTCCATGGAGCCGGGGAGGGACAGTACCTGAAGCATGCTGGCAGAACCTCTGGCTGTGTCCTGCGTGCAAGCCCTGGAGGGACTTCAGGTGCTCGCTGGAGGTGGAAAAACTGTTGCGGAAGAATCAGAGCTCAGCCCGTGGCCTCCCTCTGTGCCTCTGCAGCCCGCTCAGGCCCCCACTCCTTTCACAGCCCAGGTGGTCAGCTGCTCCTGTTCTCCGTGGACAATGCGTCCTTGGGACATCACCCGTGAACTCAGATGCTTCTCCTACTTATTGCCCTGAGCCTCACACAGGTAACTGGACCCAGTAAGCCTGCACCTGCCACAGAGTGCGGATCCCCACCCCCACCCTCATTTCCAGCATTCACCTGACCCCCAATACCCACTGTGTCATTTTACCAAATGCCACTGGATGCAGCTGAAGGTAAACATTCAGGGAGTCCAGCAGGAGTCCTGTGGTGTCTCAGAAAAACCGCGCCTGGGGGCCCCCTTCAAAGCGCAGGAGAGTCTGGTGGCCGGTGTCCACATCCCCGAGCCGCTAGCGCGGCCACTTCCTATCGCAGCCTGGTGATTGCTTGTTAATGGAAAACAGATCTTACCACCCCACGTTTGGGAAGTCCTCAAACCACGCTCTCTCACAGATACAACCCAGGCTCCTTGCAGGGGCTTCGGAGCCCTGAAAGCCTGGCCCCTGGCTGCTCCCTGCCCCCAGCTGCTGTGCGTCCTCTTGCGTGTGTGCAGAATGCTCCCGCCGCGGGCCGACTTCCCCTGACCACGTCACACAATCCCCCTCACGTCCACCCCCACACGGTTTAGTCTCGTGAACAGTGGTGGTCACCACCTTCTCCAATTCTCTGTGATGGTAGTCTCACCACTGAATGCCCAGAACAGTGCCTCTTCCAAAGAGGTTATCTGTTGAATGTGGTTGCACAAAATTTGCAGATGAATGAGTGGACAACCCAATTTCCCCTTTGACCTTCCAGTTTATAGCCCCCTGGTTCCTGAATGCAAAGCCAGGTAGATGTCACGTTCCCATGGTAAGAGACTGAAGCTGCAGAGAATCCCTCAACATCTAGGCCTTTATTCTGGGGACAATGACACCTGCCCCCAACAGGGAGGGTATCCAAGCTATGGAGGGTGCTGGCCATCTCCCCAGGGACAGTCAGTATCCCCACTTCCCACTGCTCACCCGGAGTCTCTGGTCTCCACGAGCAAATCATGACTCATCAAGTTGCTGGACTGGGTACCAGTCTTCGATGACATGTGATGGCGGCCACGCTGTGTCCCTGGGGCTCCGGCACACGGAGGCCCCACACCGCTTGCACCAGGCACCAGATGCAAGGGCAACTCTGCATGGATTCACAGCAGCCAGAGCCTCCCTGCCCATGAGACACCCACCCTGTGCCGTACTCAGAAGAGGTGAACTACACCAGGCCAAGCCCCCGGTCTCTCAAGCTCCCAGGTCACTGAGCAGTTTATGCTGACTCTCAAAGCGCTTAGGGTGTGGAACATGCAGTCGGTGGAAAAGGGAAGCGAGGGTTCTGGATGGCAGGCAGACCCTGGCAGCAGCAGGGTGGGGGACGCCAGCCATCGCATCCAAGAGTGGCCTGAGCTGGTGGGGCCGATGGAGCAGAGGGATAGGTGGCCACGGGGTGGGGACAGGGCCCTGGCTCTCAGCTTTCAGGCCACCGACACTAGAGACAGAGGCAGCCTGAGAAGACAGGACAGCTCTGTTCTGAGACCAGCTGGGCTTGCGTCCCTCGTGAAACTCCCACCAGCGCAGGCGGAAATCTCGGCTCAAGAGGGAAACCTCAGTGTGTTCTGGCTCCAGGACTGGTAAGAAGTCTGGGAATCCACTAGGTCCCAGGTCCCCCAGGGAGCCCCCAGCTCACAGCGGATGAGATGCATTCGGGTGACTTGGTGTCTTTCTTAAAACTGCAGCTTGGTTTCTCAAAGGAGCTGTCCACACGTGGCCACAGTGACCCGTTCATCGCTCCACAGATATAGGAGGTCTTCTCTCCAAATTAAGCATGAAATCCCTTTCTGCTTTTTATCTGCTGGTTAATCTTACTTCCTTGTTGTTGTTCTTTTCTGACACTTACATTCATATCCATAAGTCAAAAACCCCACTACTGCAAAATAACTGTGAATGTTCACAAGATTACAGAAACAAATACCTCTGAGCCAGCCTCCTTCAATTACCAGCCAGCCAAGCAGCTGGGTCCCATGGCGCAGAAGTAACCAGACACCCTAATTCAGGAACGAACTGATTTCTTTGCACCTGGCCGATTCTCGCTTTAAAGGCACTGGAGAACTGTGCTCTGCAAAGCATCTCAGCCCCACAGAGATCCTCGGGTATGGACAAGAGAAACACTTCAGTGCCGTGGAAGGTTTGTTTGGAGGTGCTTTAAAAATGTCAGCAAGAATGACCATTTGATGCAGAGACCAGTGCGGCTCTGTTCTGCCGTTTATAGTTTTAGTAAAACTGTATTTTCTTACAAAACTGAAACTCTTTTGTGTCACCAGGAAGAGCAGACTCAGGAGTCTCATGTTCTGGCTTCGCCTCATTACCTGGTCTCCTTGGAGGCCCCGCTGCCCGGCCAGGGCGAGCGTGGTGCCTTTAGAGGCTCATTTGCTCCAGTCTCTGAGTAAACAGAATCCCATCTGCTGCAAACTTCAAAGGCTGGTTTGCAACTTTGCTCAACAAGGGGAAAAATGTGTATTGTTGAGCCGATTCCTCAATGTCCTTTTGGTGAAAATGAGTCTTTCTGCAGATGCAAATGTGGTGATTCAAATCTTTCCTCTCTGCACCAGTGAGTCAAAGTTGGTGTGCAGAAATTCACACTCCTCGTAAACAGAACTCCAGCCACTGATCCGTCACCACCGGCCCTGTGCACGCACACCTCCAGAGCACGCAGCGTGGGGTCCCAGGCCTGCACCACCTCTCCCAGCAATCGCTGGGCTGCCGTGTGCTCTGACCTCGGGCTGTGGTCTGGCCAGATGGGGTGAACCGTATGAGTGTACTGAGTAAAAGCGTGAGCTTATTCTCCACTCTTCACCCACACAGGAACGATTCTAACGTGTGGGCTACCAGTCCACGGTGGGTCACCACACCCTTACCCCTGTTTTCAGGGTCAGGGACCCGAAGCGGCCCCTTCCCACGTCCTGTCCAACCCCGGCTCGGGGACAGGAGTCAGTTCCCCTGCACACCGGCTGCGCATCCCCTGGCTCCCACACCAGGCAGGGGACGTGGTCCCTGAGCTGCAGGGACCCGGCTCCTACAGACAGGGTAGGGGTCCCACTAAGAAGCCGAGCTGGTCTGTGCCATCCATTAAAGTGATCTTATTAGAAAGATCTCCCAGCTTATGAACAACAACCCCCAACACTGGAGGTGACCAGAAGTCCCACGTCCCTTTTCCGCTTCTGCACACAGTGACCTCACCAGCGGCAGCTGTGGCGTGACCATCCCCCCCGGGGCCCCAGCGGTCCAGCCATCCCGGCCTCCCTGCCGAACCGCTCCTGGAGGGCAGGATGCGATTTTCACCACAGACCTCCAGGGGCACCGCTGACGGCCAGCAGTGGGGGCAGGTCTCCTCTGCTGTCACCCCGCTGCAAACACCCAGTGTCCCAGCCTCGGCATGTGTCCCCAGAGCACTGCTCCCATGGGCCACACAGGGAATCGGTACCTCTCTTAAGGGCTTGCAGCATTAGTGGAAATGCACTAGGCACAGTCGTGTCAGGGGGAGAAGAGATGAGGCAAAAATAAAATGTCAGCTAAACGATGAAGTAAATGAACAGCAACTGATTTCCGTCATTTTCAAACACACGTTATCTCACAAACTGCCGCAAGGCGTACTTGGGACATCCTGGCCGCATTACCTGCGTGGCCTCTGAATATCCTCGATATGACGGCAGGGACCCTGTGCTCGGCGCCTCCCTGGAAGACAGGCAGAGAGGGGGGTCAGGGTCTGCACAGACCCCCACACAGAAAGAACGTCACACAGAAGAATGCGTTCATACCTTTATACTCAGGCCCAAGCCGCCAACCGGCTCTCTGCGAAGCGTAACAGTTCTGTGCTTTAAAAAATTTTAGAAAACAAAGCAAATTTAGGTTAAAATGCATGATCAGAGAGCGAATGCAAAATGCAGATATAAATTCATAATTTAAACTTAAGCAACTGTTTAAAACACATTTGCAAAGGAGACACTGCTTAAATTCAGCAAAGACACCATTTCACATCCTCAGTCTGTGGTATTACCTAGAGGAACAAAGGCCTTGATTAAAAAAACAGGCAAAACAAACAAACAACAAACCAGGCTCTACTGCAGCCGTATTTAAAATCCGCGGGCAATCCCTGCACGTTGGCCTTGCCTTCCCGTTCCGTGTCAGAGGACCCCAGGCCCGTGAGAAACGGCCCACACTCTCCCAGGAAGGGACCAGAGAAGCAGCAACCCACACTCAACCCGCCTTCAAAACCCGTTCTTCCCACCAACCCCCAGCCTGGATCCCTCTCACCGCACCTCTTGCCCAGACCAACCACTTTTAGGCCCATTTTTAAGTAGTCGGTGTTGACCATGCGTGCTGGGCATCTCCCTGTCCTCTGAGCACGGGGCCGGTGGTGATGAAAAGCTGGAAGTCGAGCAGTGCCCGTAACCAACAACGCCCCCCAAACCTCTCACTCCAGTAAGTCAGCAGTGCGCATCCTGCTGGTCTAAAGTGACCAATCCTAAACCAGATGCACCAGATCTGTGGCTGAGGGTGAGAAACGGGCCCAGGGGCGGAAGAAGCGGAGGGTCAAGCATGTTTGTGCCTCAGAAAGATTCCATGGGAACATCAAGAATGACTTGCACTACCTCCTTTCTGAGTGACAGCATAGGTGCTTTCAGCCTGAATGGTGCTCAAGAGTGGGCTTGCAGAGCAGGGCGACCAGGGACAAGCCGAGGTCAGCAGGGCCCCGAGGGGCTTCCACACGAGAGCAAGGCCTGCTTGCCGCCAGCAACGGACCAGTGGGAACTGTCTGGCCGAGGAGGACACCAGGGTCTGCAGCGCGTCTCAGATGTGACTCAGGTGTGACTCCATTCTTGGGAATGAATTCACCATAAGCTCAAAGTAAAGAAACCAAAAATTGGAACAAATACAGCTCCTTTAAAGTGCTCATATAGGCATCCATTAGGTAACATTTTAATAGAAAATTTTATATTTTGAGCTTCCCTGTGGCTGGAAAATTCGCAGCTGTTGACTGTTTATGCAATCACAGTTCGGGGACGCGACTTCACAGCGATGGCTCGCATTTTCTCCTTGTCTCCAGCCGCACCCGAGTGAGTGACGGTGAGGAGCAGGCCCAGTGCATGCCCGGGACAGACTCATGGGGCTCCTACTGGGTCCTTTCCAAGTACCGAAATACCAGCAACCCGCCCCCCGACTCCCACACAAAGGGCAGCAGGAGCAGAGGTGATTTAAATCCCGTGGCGGGAAGACACGCTCCTGCGTGTGGGGAGCTTCCCTCCACAAACTCCCAGAGCGGACTCCCAAGTCAGCCAGCATCTCGGGGAGCGTGAACTAGTGAACAAAGCAGAGGGGTATCATTTATTCATGCTTTCACTCATTCCATAAGCGCCGAGTTCCTACTGTATTTGGGGTGACACGAGAATGTGTCTCAGGCTTTCCCAGGAAATGGGCAAAAGAAGACTGGAAAATTGGGTCATCCAATATCACACTAATCAACAATCTCTACTATAGGGAATTTGTCAAAATATTCAATAATGTTTTTCAACTTTTCCCGTTAATAGAAGCATTTGAACCTCACTGAGAGCAAGCAAATATACATCAGAGAAAAGAAACAAGAGTGTTTCTGTTTTGACAGACTTTGTCACATGACATTATAAATCTGTCATTTTATCCACACATAGATCTCAAGAGGATCATTCAAAGAAAACATCAGAAAATGGATCACCTGTGGCAAAATGGGTTAACGCACACCAAAACTCTGGACTACGATTCCCAAATTCCCAACAGGTGAAAGATGAAAACTTTATGTCATCAACTCCTTTAACGCCTGGTTAACAGAACGGAATTATCTGTTATTAAGCCAGAGTACTATTTATTCAAATATTTGCTCGATGCAATCTGTCAAAATTCCCTTTCTGAGCAAATGTGTCTCAGTCACATAACCCTCTGCAAAAACTGAATTTGTGCATCTGGAAAATGAGGGTTATGTGTCCTACCATGGGACGTTGCTGCAGACTGAACTGTGTCTCCCCAAATCCCTATGTCGAGGTCCCATCCCCATGGGACCATACCTAGAGGTAACTGAGGTTAGAGGGGTCACAGGCTGGGCCCCATACACCAGGGTTGCTGTCCCCATAGGAGCAGGACGAGGGGGACCCCAGAGCCCTCTCTGTGCGCTCAGAGTAAGGCCGCAGAAGGCACAGCGGGAGGGCGCTGTCAGGGAGCGAGCACCTGCCCTGCCCCGTGTGGGCAGCTGGGCCCACAGAGACGAGCCAGCCAAGGGAATTACAGGAAACCACCAAGTTTCACAGAAACCTCAGGATGGCGAGTCTCTCAGTGAAAAGTTCTTCTTCCCAATCTTCCAACTCCCTCAAGGAGCGTGGAGGAATCTCGCATTTCACCGTCGGGAGGAAGGTTCAGCCAGTCCGTGTTCTCACAAATGAAGAGCACGTAACTACTAGGGCTCTAGAATGATGGTGGCGTTGTCATTTTTAAGAATTTTGTTTTTCAAAACAAGATTTGTAAAAATTGGTTCATGGTGATGAAACAGTCCACAGGGCGGCCTGGCTCAGGCCCCTCCTTCGGGTCCCAATGTCTCAGGACCGGATGTGAGGGCGATCTGGCTGCGACATCTGTCACCCCATTGATCGCCAGGGTTGATTCGGCTGATCTGGCTGGCTAGGCGGGTGTCCCCTTCCTCCCTCACCGCTCCATGTGCGTCCCTCCCGGAAGCTGCGCGCTCGGTCGAAGAGGACGACCTTCCCCGATAGAGGAGAGGACCGTTCTTCGGTCAAGGGTATACGAGTAGCTGCGCTCCCCTGCTAGAACCTCCAAACAAGCTCCCAATGTCTCAGGACCTCACAGCCAAGCGAGAGATGGACACATTAACTTAAAGTCCTGGGAGAAGTTTCCAAAGCGGTTCTGCTAACATATGCAGATGCTAATGTCATCACAAGGCATTTTCTAATTCAACCAGCCCGTTGTTCTTCATCGAGCACACTCTACAGAGTCCGTGCTCCTGAGCGGAGGACCTCCTCCAGCGAGATGCACCTGCCCCATAAACATGCTTCCCTTCGGTGTCTGGGGGCTGCTCTCACTTACCGGAGGAACGAATTATGAATTCAATCAAATGTATAATGAGACTTCTGGGGAATGAAGTTTGGAATCTAAAGTAACTATTCAATAAACTCATTTCCAACCCAATCCAGCCGTGTTTTTCACAAACATAAGAGATAAGGTCCTAAAGAAAATATTGTTTTATCATTTAATCCCAAACTATGTTTTGACATTTACCGACTCCTGATTCATGGAGCAAAGACAAGGATGCAAAAAGGAACTAGAGAAAGGATATAAACTTAGGTGGATAAAGGTGGTAATAATGTCTATTTTATCACAAACAACAACAACGGAGTCGTGTAAGCTGAGCACAGAATTTATCAGCACCCCGGCAGGTGGGACAAATCCATCTGTCTCGGGAAGTTTAAGACAAGTTTAATTCTTCACTCCAAACTAAAATATCAGTTTGTTAATAGTCCTCACAGTACTTGTTATGTAAGAAATAAACCTAATTTTTGAAAATGATTTTATTAAGTTCATTTGTTGTGATATACCTGAACAATCTGTAGGAATCGCTGAAGGAACGGCCAGGCAACCGCCAATCACTCTACTACTAGATGTTCTTCCACATCTTAATTTACATGCTCCTTATTCCTTTTTCTAAAACTTTTTAACTTTTTAAAAACTTTAAGCCTTTTTTTCAGCAAAAAAGGCGGGGGCTGACGATTTTTCTGGAAGGCACTGTAAGCTGAGCTGACCATCCGTGCCGCTCTGTGGCCCCCTCACAGAGTTTCACAGATCCGTTTCTAGGGAATGGGTTTTGTGCTCAAAACTGATCAACTCTTTGTTCTTTCTACCAAGATAAGTGACACCCAGGACCCAGGAAATAAATATTCCAAAATGCATCTTCTGGTGCGTGTAAACATATGTGCGGGAAGGTGGAAACAGGCATGGTCTTGGATGTGAAGTCTACAGGGTGTGGCAAAGCCAACCTACAAATATCCGGAACGTCAGAGTGTGGGCCACGACCTAACATACTTATAGGGGAAAAGCTGAAAGGCCAGCACACGAGAAGCCTAGAATGCGGAGCCAAAATGTCCTGGAACTAATCTAGATGCCCAGTCGGTACATAGATGTGACGCTCGCCAGACAAAACCTGCCCACGAGGAAGACAAGAGTGAAGCCACCCCAACACACACAGAGGGGAGAGGGGAGAGCAAGCACCTGATAGCAAAGCAGAGGAGAGACTGCAGGGTTCGCCCTCTCCTCCCAGAATCTGCCAGGCTCCTGCAGCCAGGGCCGGGCGCCTTTCATCCACCAGTGAGATGGGCTGCTCTGCCTCACGCGGCGGCGGTGGCGGTGCTGCTGCTCTTTCCAGGGGTCCCCCCTTCACCTGCGCTCAGCACCCGCCAGCCCAGGGTCTCCCGTCTGTGCTCACATGGGGTTCTTCAGACGTTTCCCAGACTGCGACTTTCGTGTCTAATGTGTTGTTTGTCCGACACCCGGAGATTCCGGTTCCGCGCATGGTTTTCATCTTTACTTCAAGACGTTCCCTGCTCGCAGGTCTGCTGGGTCGTCTTCTCCCCTGCCCCACTCCCATAACCTCTCGTGTCTAGAGGCATGGTAAACACCTGCGATGCAAACCTGGCCATTTTAGGTCAACGTCTGCACCGGTCTTCAAGTCCGCTTGTGAAGATGTGACTTCCTGGAACTCTCCCGGGAGAAAGTCGCGGTGTCCTGTACCCGCCCAGCCCCTGGACTGCCTCCCAAGGTGTCAGGCAGACGCCAAACCAGGCTGTGCGTGCGGGCGGACACCAGCGCCCCGTTCGCGCCAGGTTGGCAGTCCTCCTCCCCTCTGCGGTGGACGTTCCGCTGGCTCGTCCTCCTGCGGGGCTCCTGGGTGCATCCCCTGGGCCCCATGTGAGCAGAGGAGTGACTGAGATCCTGCCTGACCTCTGCCACTAACTGGGAGTTGAGCTCAGAGACTCCTGAACCTTCATGTCTGAAACAGTGAAACGAGGACACGGAACCCTCTCAAGTACATTCACTGTCGCTAAAAGTAGTGAATACAACACAGATTTATTACGATGTTGTCTCTGTGTGCATGTTCCCACCACATTAATTCAAACCACAAGCATAAACTCACAATTAAGGAAAATGTAATGTGTCACATGTACAGTGAGGATTATAAAAATAAAACAATCTAAACAAAAACTCTGAAACATGAGAAAAAGCTAGTTCTTTCCCCCAACAAAGCACACACTTTCTTTAGAAGATAATTAGAAAATCCTCAGATTTTCAACATTCAAAATGTCCTGTTGCTATGGATTGAAATATAAATGAAATAGGAGTTTGCAGATTTGAAACTCCGGTGCTGCCCTGGCAGATTTTAAAAATCCACTAAATTTAGTTTTGCCTTCTCTCTTTTGTGACGAGAAGAACACCTGTCCTTAACCGACACTTGGGTTATTTTTCAGCAGGTTCAAATTCACTGCCCAGCAGTGTCTTCTGGAACAGGCAGCCCAAAAAGTGGATGCAGCTGGAGGAATGGAGTTCCGTGCAGACTCTGCCGTCCATTCCCAGAGAACCGAGCTCCCTCTGGGTGCATCCGCAGGGCCGGTGCCGAATCACAAAGCTCACGGATGTTGACGCGAGCATGGACCATGATGTCGGGCCTGGCGAGCAGGGCGGGCACTCTCGGGCTCGGGCTGTGTGACTGGCGCGTGCACACGCAGGAGCTGACCCCGTGCCCTAAACACTGTCGCCTGTGACGTGGGGGTCAAGATGCACCTACTGCATAACCATGCCATGGGTTTTTGGTGAATTAGGGTATAGAACACACTCAGAAATGTCCTGGCAGTGGGGACAGAATCATGCACGCCAGCAATGACTGTTCACGGTAGGTTTAGCCTCCAAGTCTTGGGGTCCGACTGATAAGCTAATCAATGTCTGCTAGAATTTAATATCTATATTGTGTACCCAGTAAATATGTGTTGCACCAAATCTGACAATTTTCATCTCCTGGGACCCACACAGAGACTCCAGGTTCAGCGAGGCATGAAGCTCCATCATTCCTTCTGTTGATCCACTGTGGATTGATCAGACCTTCCACTCCTGCCCTTCAGAATAATTTTAAGTGGAAAACAATCATGGTCAGCCAGGTTCCTGGTGCAGGTACCTTGGACACACTCAACACTATAATGCAGGGAGCAGCTGCTCCAAGACCCCCCAGAGGGGCTCTGACTTGAACTCTAAAAACCGTTGTGACCGTTGTTAAAAAGAGTTCTTCTTGTTCTTCCAACACATGATGAATTCTCATGGCAAGATGGTGTTATTCTTATCAACTGCAGAATTCAGGGTTCCGGTTTAGGTTCTGATCTCAGGAGTGGATCATATCTTCCTGCAAACAAAACTCTCCCCAAATTGCCTCCGAAACCATCCAACCCAGGGATGCATGTTCCGGCAGAGATCGCTGGAAGGGGACCGGCCGCTGTGGAACACAAGTCCGTGTGCCCCGCGGCTCTCCTCAGAGCAGGGCTGTTCGTGGGCATCCAGGAGTCACTGGAAATTATAAACACAACTCTGCAAGTGTGAACACACACTCACTTCTCCTAGGAGGGAGAACTTAACCTTAGGTAGAGAATCTGATGTTTGAATAAAACAACGTAATTTACTTTTCCTGGACAATTTAGCATAGAAACATCGAATGTTTTTTGCTATAAGTTGTGTGGGATTCTCTACAGGTTATGGACTCACTATGAAGAAGGATAATTTTTTAAAACAGTAACAAACTCTTCTCTAACGCTGCTCTCCCCAAACCCACTGCTGCTGAGTATTCAGAACAAGTGGGGGGACAGTAGGTTGAACGAGGGATTGGTGACCCTTGACCTCCGACCCTGCCGGGGGCCCCAGGGAATAGTAGCAGGAAAGGGCAGCAGCTGTCCTCTGCCCTCTGTTGTGGTGACTTCACCTGTCCCGGACCCACAGGCAGCATCCAGAATGGGACCAGACACCCAAAAAGGGCACAAGAGGGGCAGACATGGGTCTGGGGCAACACGGGGGGGCGGTTCACGTGGAATACAGGAGCACTTCTGTTGTCCATGCATGTGGGAGGGGCCGCACGTGTGTGAGACGCACACATGAGCCCAGCATTGCTTCTGCAGGGGGCGAGGGAGGCCGCATCGGGCCTGCCCAGGGAAGAGGTCACACTCTGCAAGCACCTGCACCTACTGAGGAAACACCGATTTGGGGATTAGACATGGGGAGCAAGTGCCCTGTTTACTTTGTTTCCAAGGTGAAGGTCATGAGGACCCAGAAAATGATGAAGTAAGCAGTCTCCAGGGCCCACGCTCTACGAGACCCAGCTGTGAACCGGGGAATGGGAACGCTTCAGGGGTACTTTCAAAAACACACCACAAACAACTTATTTTCAGCTACATGATTTCTTGAATATCAGTTTTTGTAGGTCCTGGGTAGGGATACTCGAAGGACAGAGCAGTGAAATGTTGATTCTATAGAAATATATATATATATATGTTTATATATTTATACCTGCAATTATTTGAGCTCACAAGAAGGAAAACAGGAAACCGACTATGGTTTTAAAAGAGTATACTGCATATTTCCTCTATCACTTACGGTCGTCCTGTTTGACCTAAACTGATGTAAAACTGGCCAAAATTATTTTCCCTAATCTTTACTCGATATTTTACTGTATCTGGTCAGTACATTTCTTACCCTTCAGGAAAGTTCACTGTGACTGAAGCCAAAAGAAGGACGGAGCTTTAGCGTGGAAGCGCATGTTCACGTCCCGGAGACCAGGGCAGAGCTGACACCTGACGCGGGCGAGTGCCCGCTCTGTCTGTAGCTGCTCGTGGTTTCAGATGTGAGGAAGCCCTCGGCAAGTACAGTACTCTCACGTTCTGTCTTCACTTCCAACAGAGTGTGTCCCACGGCACACCGTGGTGTGTGGGGAGAGCTCCTCCCGGAAAACACATCAACGAGGAAATTACGGAAGGCAGGGAGACAGAAACCTGGTCTTGTTTTGCAGCTGGGGATGTTTAAATAACAGGGGAGCAAACAGTCCTGAGGCCGTAACCGGCCTCCCCGAGTGGGCCTCCCCGGCGCATCTACGCAGAGCCCGGAGCCACGGGGCACTTACATGTGTGCCGTGACTGCTCCCACCGACACAGACCACGTCTTGTTTCTGGATCGTGAGGACCTCCTTTGTCAGCTTCAGGCGGACGTCATAGGTGCTTCCAGACCCCTCGCGGTGCAGCAAGGCAATGCCAGTTCTGGTCTGTGGGGCAAAGCAGAAACACACCAGAGGGTGTGAGCGCAGCGGGCGCGGGTGTGGTGGCAGGACCACGGCTCACTCGCCCACAACCCCCAGAACATGCACCCGGACGGACCACGTGGGGACCGCACAGCTGCAACCATCTGGCCACGGCTTCATTAATTTAACACACACTAAGTATGAATTCTGAGTAATTGTTTCTGAATAGCTTTTACAGGATTTAAATAAACATGTTTTTAAAAGAAAATTAGGGTTTTCTTTAAAAGCTTGAAAATATTAGTATTTTGTTCAAATCAACTTTTCTAACTTTAGAAAGCCTTTAGTTCCTACTTTTACCAAAGCTCTTTGCATGATAACCACCCCTTTCGGAAGATTCAGATAGTAACTGTTTGAAGATTTATTGGTCTGGACCAGGAAATGCTGAAAATCAGCAAAACGTGTATCAGAGTTCTCATCAATACATGGAAACCGACTTTATCAGAAGTACCCAGTGGGGCCCACACACTGGCTCCCGGAGGGCTGGGGCCCGGCGGGCTTCCTACCCCCGCCGCACGGCAAAGCAAACTGGGTTTGTCAGCAAGCGCAGACCAGGAGGGGACGTCCACAGGTAAAGGCCTTCTCAGCAGACGAAGAATGGAAAGTCGGACAGACACCTCTGGACAAACTAGAGGTGGCCTCCTGGTGTGTGCAAGTCACGGTCAACGGCGTCTAAAGGTGCCCTGCTTCACTTGGGCGCCCCTCGCCAGGCCCGAGGAGGCGGGTCTCAGGGGTGGAGCAGGCTGGTATTTCTGTCCGTCTGGAGCACCAGGTGCCGCATGCAGACTGCTGCCTGCACAGCCTTAGGCGGTCACCCTGCAGGCCAGGAGGAAGGGAGGAGGGAGGCGGGATGCTTAGTGAGGTGTCAGGAGCTGCTCCCTCAGGCCAGGACCATGAGGAAAGCCCACGCAGGGGCATGCGTACCAGGACTCTCCGAGGCTGGCAACCAACCACAGAAACAGAAAAAGAAGAAACTTACAAGATCACTGACAAATTCCAAAGATGGCATTTGACAAAGTTATATATTAATTAAATATTTAATTAATAGTTCTTTAAATTAATAGTTAAATCTAAAAGGTTAACCTTCGGGAAAACAGCTAAAAAAGTCTAAGAGCACTTGTCATTCACCATGTTGAATTATAGAAAGATTTCCTCCAGGGACAGAGGCTGAGAAAAAGATGTGCGTTCACTCTTGCCATTTCAATACCACACTGTGCTCCTGACCAGTGCAATTATATATAAAATATATACTTTAAATATTTATGATGCATAAAGGAAAGAAGAAAAATGAAGCTAGTTCACAGATGGAATCTCTAAGCATGGAGATAATTCAAAAGTATCTATATCTATGTCTGTCACATGAACATTTGGACATTTAGCCTATGGCCTTAACATCATTACCAGTTAATGGTGTATTATGACAGTACTGTGAAAGTATGTTTCAATATATCAGCAACAAATAATAACAGCTGAAATAACAGGATATAATTCCCAGTAGCATTAACAACTGCCAGTATCCAGAAACCAACTAATGAAAACTGACACACTAGGTCTCTACACTAAAAATTTGAAAGTGTTACTGAGAGGAAAATAATAAGACCTAAATAAGTTACAGATCATGTTCATGAACTGGATGGATTCGTACTGTGAAGTCATTTCTTTCTAAATTAATCTCTGAATTAATCTGTTGTTGATTCAAAACAACACAAAATCATAAACACCAGCAAGTTGTTAGAAACTGACAAAATAATTCTAAATTTCAAACAGAAACGCAGTCACGTATAGTCAAGGCAATCCTGAAGAACACCCAAGCTGAAGACTTATAATGCCAAGTATCAAGAAGTATTTTGAGGTTGTAGCAATTAAAATATGGGGTATTTACTCAAGAAAAATAGCTCAGTGGAGAAGAGAGAATACATAGTCCAGAAAAAAAATTCACATATGTGTGATCTCCTCGCTTGTCATAAGTGCAGCATGACAGTCATGTCCGGAAAGAATCTAGGAAAAAAATGAGTTCACCGCCCCACTGCAGAGCCTAGGAAACAATCAAATCTAGCTGGACTTCAGAGCTACATGTGAACAGTAAATCAACAAAACGTTTAAAAGAAAACAGGTGAAAATATCTCCATGGACTCAGAGTAAAGTTGACTTGAACAGCATGCAAAACAGTTCTAGCCTGGAAATGTTCTAATCTTGAAGTTCTAATAGAGAAAGGGACTAATTGTTCTACATAAAATTGAGAAATTCTGTTCAATAAAAGATACTACGAAGAGATCAAAAAGTTATCCATAGAGTGAGTGATCTTGGCATTAGATATATTTGATAGAGACTCATACACAGAACATACAAAGTGCTCCTAAAATCAGCAGAAATAAGAGTAATTTTGTGAATTTGTAAAAGAGTGACCAGTTAAACCCCTCCAAAAACCTCACATGAAATGGTCACAATCCCCACCTCACTGCTGTTATTCAGCATTTTTCTGTACAACTTTGTCTCCCATGAGACAGGAAAAAAGAGTTTAAAGGTATAAAAATTCAACAGCATTTACAATATTTACAGGTGATATTGAGGTCCACAAATAAAACCAGGAAGTATGCAAATGTCAGAAATCACTTATATGGCTAGATAAAATCACACTCGATCAATATAATCTGCAAATACAGTTGCATATTTACACAATAATTTATATACATCACAGGCTAACCAATCCCCCCTCCCCCCTCCCCTCTAAAACCCTGTTTGTTTCTCAGAGTCCATAGTCTCTCATGGTTCATCTCCCCCTCCAATTCCCAAGGGGGGATTGGTTAGCCCAGTGATGGGTATCAAGGAGGGCATGTACTGCTTGGAGCACTGGGTGTTATACGAAAACAATGGATCGTGGATCACTACATCAAAAACTAATGATGTCTTGTATGGTGACTAACATAACATAATAAAATTTTAAAAAAAGAAAAAGAAGAAGATAGCAGGAGGGGAAGAATGAAGGGGAGTAAGTCGGAGGGGGAGACGAACCATGAGAGACTATGGACTCTGAGAAACAAACAGAGGGTTCTAGAGGGGAGGGGGTTGGGGGGATGGGTTAGCCTGGTGATGGGTATTAAAGAGGGCACATTCTGCATGGAGCACTGGGTGTTATGCACAAACAATGAATCATGGAATGCTATATCAAAAACTAATGATGTAATGTATGGTGACTAACATAACAATAAAAATAATTTATATACAATAATAAAAATTCACAGTTATTTTGCAAATATAATTTGCATATTTACACAATAGAACCAAGAGAAAAAAATTAAGAATTTCCTCCAAAAATCCACTAGATACCCAGGAATATATCCACCAAAACAACTTGAAGAGTTCAAGGGAGAAAACTGAATCCTTTATTGAAAACATTAAAGGAATACTAATTAAAAAGAGAAATATCTGTACACAGGAAAATTAAAGAAAAGTGTGTGAACTGTCCCAGAACTGATCTATTTGGTCACTGCAGCTCCGGTCAGGATGTGCATCAGCTGGGCCTCAACAGAAAGACCTGGAATGCCTAGAGTGGAGGGGTCCTGGGGGCCAGGAAGGGCAGAGGAGGGGTGGGGGTCTTGCTCTGGTAGGGATCAGTGTCTGCAGTCCGCCACGGGTCCCCACAGGACTCTTCTCTGGGACTTGGTGCCCACGCCATCAGGATGCCAACTACAAGACATTCTCTCCCCATTTCCTTGGCTGCTTTCCCTGCCCTTTGTAGTGCTACAGAAAGTAATGGTTTTTATTCATGTTATTGTTGATAGCATCCCAGAATTGAACAACTCTGGCATCGTCAAGCTGTAAGAGTTACAACTGTGGGTAAAAATGGCCCAGAGTTAGAAAAACAGCCCAAGAGCCCAGCCAGGGTCCCCTGTGAGCACGGACGCTCGCGGCAGCACGGACGCCCACCAGGAACGAGAGGAAATGCCACGGGGGCAGCAACAGACCAATTGGGGAGTCAGAGTCCCACAGACCCTCCCAAGTTCCAGAGATGCTGAGATTAAGCTGGAAACTTGTGCAGCCAGAATCTCTTGGACCATCGGGCTGTTCTAACAAGGTGCACAAAGCAGAACCACAGGGGCAAGACTGGGCACCTGCACCACAGCCAGACGTTGTTTCGCCCGAGGACCCACCAGGGCGGCCCCAGCACACACCTGGGAGGGGGACCCGCCACTCAGGCCACAGGCATGAAGCCAGAGGCCAGGAGCTCACTTGCTCTCGGCCCAGCCAGTTGCACACACTCCAGGATCTACATCGACAGAAGACATGCCTTTTTCGGCAAGCCTCTAAATGCAAATTAACATTAGCTTCCAGTGAAAATCCATCCACTTCACTTGATTCAGAGTTGACAGGAAAAGCAAAGTGAACGGCAAGCAAACTCAGAAACCGAACAGCTCCTCTGACAGCCAGCAGGCCCCGCTTGTCACGGGGTGCGTTCCTGAAGCGTAATTAGCATCAAAGTCACGGTGGCAGAAGGAGGAGCCCTCCGCTACCTACACCTGCCATTATGCTTTCAGCTGCATGAGAAACCGTGTTTCCAACACATCTTTTGAAATGATTCATGCCATCAAGTATGATATGAATTTTATAGAAAAAAACCCAAGTCATTTTTAATTTGGAACCCAAGGGAAATTTGTACCTTAGGAGACGGTTCCCTACCAGCAATAGACTAACAAGATCGGTAGATCCTCGTGGATTTTGGGAAGGCAGTTAGAGACCCCACCTCTGTCCCTGAGCTTCTCCAGGGACCTGCAGGCCGGGAAAGGGCAGCCACCTCAGAGCCATGGTGGGCTGGGTGGGAGCGATGGAGGAGGGCGCACAGGTACCGAACGAGAAAAAGGAGAGAGAAACGTCGAGGCCGGAAGCTCAGGGCCGGGCAAGGGGTTCTAAACTGGGCTGCCCCTGAAATCACCTGCTGAGCATCCAAAGCCGCGGGCAGAAAGGTTGAG